GAGTCCTTACAATGATCAGTAACAACACTTGTGGCCTGACACAAACAGAGACCCTAACTAACTAACTATCGTCCTGGACTTAGTCTCAAGGCGCCAACACTGAAATGAGGTGCGTGCACAATCTTACCGACCCGGGTCTGCTTTTCATCTACTGGTGACTCTAAACAGAACAAATGTCTCTCCAACAAGCATGCGGTCTCGTCGTATATGTTTCTTAGTTCCTCTGCTCTCGTCAGCATTCCTGGCAGCAATCTTATCAGCTTCACTTAGCTGCAGCTCTGGTTATGGAGGGATGCTCTCACACCTGGATGTCATCAGATTCTCAGCTCACACGGCCCCCCTTATTCACCATTCTCCAGAACATGGCTGCTCTCTCTTCTTCCTGTTCTCTCTCAACGCTATGTGAAAACTCCACCTCTTCATGAATATAGAAATATCTATGCAGTCTAAGGCTGTGTTAGAAAAAACAGTGACATCTTTTGGCTAAACTGAAGAATATCAGTCAAAACATTTAATTTACTCCACACAAGCAGTATTCAAACAATGAGAGCTGTTTCCCCATCTCACAGCTGCAGTGCTGTTCCTGATCCCTTTCACATGTGTGGTTTGTCTGTGCTCATCTATGGGTGTCATCTGCTGTTCTCTGGGTTTTATTTCCTTCCCTTCCATCACTTCTTGGCCCGCCTCCTTGTTTGCCTGCCTATATCAGACATGCTCAGTCTAGGCCACTTTGTCTGAGCAACTTCTTAGATGTCTGAGTTCCTGTGTGTTGCTGTTGCCTGTATCCTGCATTGACTACTCATGTACCAACCCCAGCTTCATTCTCTGGCTGTGCTTGTTTTCCACCCGTCCTGACCTCGGCTAGTCTATTGGATTTCTGTTTGTCTCCTCCCATTGTACTCTGCTCCCGCGAGCGGTCTCCACATCCTCAGCTGGGCTTACCTGGGGGCCATGACCTGGTTCCAGCTTGCTGCAAGTCCATCCCCACCATCAGGGGCTCTGGTGAAGAAGCAGGCTGGGGCTTAGACTCCGTACCCTGGGGAACTCCAAATTGACTATTTACACAGGCTCACTACCACAGGTGCTTGACAGGAAAGTCTATACTAAGACAATATAAGGTGGATGATGGGCCATGATGTTCACCCCAAAAGCAAATAAATATTGAGTGTAAATAAAAATATTACAACGTATGTATTGTTCTATTCAGCGTCAGTTCAACAACTTATATAAGGACATTACTTCCCTAAATATTTATGGGAATTATTGGATCCTTACACTTTGCGTAATAACATGAGTTTTAAGTTAACAGAATTAAAGTGGTTGTAAACTATTAAATATATTGAGGGAAGTGACTAGCCTCAGGTGATACACAGAGAGGAAATAAATCCTCCTCTATAAGTTGTACTTGTCTATCATCAGTCTTCTCTTCTCTACATCTGGTTAAAGTGCTGAATTTATAATGCTTGTCTAAGAGTTTAGAAAAAAAAGGGGTGGAGAGCTGAATTACACACTGCAGAGCTCTGTGAGGAGAGCTCTGAGAGCTGATTGGGGGTAAAGGACACACAGGTAACAGGTATTGCGCTGAGGCTGTAAATCTGCTGGAGGTCCCTCCCCTGCCATCATTTTTCTTTTGGTGTCAGGAAAACTTATAAGTGATTCACGCTGACAGCAGAGGAACAAAGCAGCAGACAGAAATGACATTTAGTGCTCTTAATTAAGAGAAGTACACACTATAGAGGGATTTGCTTTGTGCTTTGTTCATATTTCATGTCTGAGGTTTACAACCACTTTAATTATTGGACCACAGAAAATGCATTTATGTGGTACTGGAATTGTGGACTAGGTATGGTCTTCACTCCCATTAAATCCCATCGAGTGTTATAACTCTTGTAAGTTTTTTTTTTAATTTTTTTCCATCTGTGTCCCCATTGGAAGACCTCCCTTCTATTGCTTTTATGGGGACAACCCCAAAATTCTAACTCTTTTAATTTCACTTTCAATGATAGTGGTAAACAGGACAAATAGAGAGGGTGAATCTCCCTAATGTGGACAAAGTCAGCAATAAAAACCTGATGGGTGTTCTAATCCACTGCCACTCTATCCAAAAGTAAGACTTGCTTCGGTTTTTTTTTAACCACTTGCCCTCCAGAGGATTTACCCCCCTTCCTGACCAGGACATTTTTTGCGATATGGTGCTGCATTATTTTAATTGACAATTGCGCAGTCATGCAACGCTGTGAATTAAATTTACGTCCTCTTTTTCCCACAAATAGAGCTTTCTTTCGGTGGTATTTGATCACCTCTGCTTTTTTTATTTTTTGTGCTATAAACAAAAAAAGACTGACAATTTTGAAAAAAAAACAATATTTTTGACTTTTTGCTATAAAACATATCCAGTGCTATAAAAATCTAATTTCTTCATAAATTTATGTCAAAATGTGTTCTGCTACATGTCTTTGCTAAAATAAATCCCAATACATGTAAATTAATTGGTTTATGTGAACGTTAAAGCGTCTACAAATGGCAGCATATATACTGGAATTTTTTTTTTTCTTTACTAGTAATGGCAATATTGCAGGACTGTCTGGGGTCAAAAAGACCCCAAATTTCTCGTTACCTCTATCAGCAAAATATTATTAAAAATAATTGATTTTTTGCTTTAACCTCCCTGGCGGTATTCCCAAGTGTAGCTCGGGGTAAAATGTCAGTACCAAAAGCGGTAACCCCGAGCTACACTCGGGCTTACCATGCGGCGCTGCATAGGGATTCCCTGCAGAGCTTACCTTGTCCTGCGCTCCCACGATGTGTCCCCTGCAGCATCCCCGGTCCATCTCCTCCGGCCGATGCCGGCATCCGGCTTCTGTGTTCCAGTCCCTGTGACGTCGGGACGTACGGGCGCCGGCGGCGGCGGCGGGAAATTTGAAAATTTAAAAAAATGTAATTTTTTCCAAACAAATTTTACATAGTAAAACATTGCTGTTTCAACCCATTTCACATACATTTTGTCCCTAGTGCTTTGTCCTGTCCCCTGTCTGCATTTTGAATGTTCTTTCTGCCTGGAAACTGAGAAAAGTCCATGGCATCCAAAAAGTGTCCCTTTAGGTCAAAAGCGGGTTTAGACCAGCTAGAGAACAGCGATAGTAAATCAGAACCACTTGCAGAATTGAGTGATAATGATTCGTGGGGAAATTCGTTATCAGACACTGAAAACGATTTTGCGACTTTGCTCAGCAATGTGCGAACTTGGCGCTCTATTTCAAATTTCAGTGTTTTTGGTTTGATTATATTATTGAATTAAATGTATTATTATTATATTATTATTTTTTATGATTATTTATTAAATTATAATTTATGATTTTGTTTCAAATTTTATCATACCATGTTTAATAGACTCTTGTTCGGACAGATTTCAGTGAGTTATTCCTAAAAATTACAGCCTACAATAAAAATAATACATATTTCCAAAATAATGGTACCGCTTTCAGCACCAAAAATCTGAAATAATCATACCGCTAGGAGGTTAATAGGGAAAAAAATTTGTTACATCAGCCCCGGACCAGAGGTGACGTCATGATGTCGCTCCGGTCCTCCAAGGCCGAAGAAGCGATGAGAGATGACAGATTCTCTCATCGCCTCTGTGACCAGCCAGCTGCACCAGCAGATTATTTCTCAGGCGTGCTGGTTTTAACGGTTAGCCTGAGAAACACCATCCACTCCTGCTGCTATTGAAAGCATTGCAGTGGCTAATGAGCCACTCAGACAGCTTTTATTATAAAGCTGACCACCGGCTGAAAAAAAGAAACTGGAGTTATGACTTATCTTCAGCCATAACCCTGATAAACCACATGCTAACTACAATGTAAATATACTGTACATACTGAGGGCAGCAAGTGGGTGTTCAGTATCACCTTAAAGTTTATGTAAACCCTAAGTTTTTGCAATTTTTTAAATATATAATTGAAAGTATTTTGTTATCTGTTAAACAAGTTAAAGCGGAGTTTCAATCACACTGTAAAAAAATCAAAGTCAGCAGCTACAAAAACTGTAGCTGTTGACTTTTAAAAAACAGCCACTTACCTGTCCCACAATCCTGCAGTGTCCTCCCTTCACCAGTCGTCTGGTATTCCAGGAGGCTGGCATCTTCAGTGTGGGCACCCGCTGTGCAACTTCCGGTTTCACAACCGAGTGCCCACTGCGCATGCTTGGGTAGCACTGCGCTTCCTGAATGGCCTCGTAGTCTTCTGGGACCTGTCACGTGTCCTAGAAGACTACGGGGAGGGAGGGGAGGAGGACAACTTCCATTTCCGATCGCCTAGGTGATCACAGAAGAAGTGGGGGTAAGTACCTGTCAATTTCGGGTACCCGCTCCTCAAAGGTGCCAATCCTTAATGGGGAGCGGGGGACCAGTCTTTAAAGCAGAACTTCCCCTTTTGGGTGGAGCTCCACTTTAAAAACAAAACCTGGTATTCTACTAACAATCCAGTGAGTTAACAACTTCCTTGATACCCTGCCTTTGTTGTACATTGTTATCAGCCCTGTCTGAATTCTCTCTGTGGATTACTCAACCCACCCCACAATGTTATGGTGATGAGGAGAGAGGGAGGTGTTCCATAGTCCTAACACACTTTGTAGGCTAACAATGCTGCTCTCCCATAGACACGATATGGTGAATGAATGTTATCATAGGGCAGAAAGCATGTTACTGGCAGGATCACCAAATGAAAATAAAGGAAAATGCAGCCATCACATCTAAGGACTGGTACAACTACAATATATTTTACACTTTATAATACACCAAGTTTATGGCCATGAGCATCTGTTTTAAGAAATGTATGTGATTAAAAAGGTAGAGAATTTAATCGCCGTTGGGTTTTTTATTTTTTGTGCTATAAACAAAAAAAAGCAAATTTAAAAAAAATGATAAAGTTTTTCTTTGTTTCTATTATAAAATTTAGCAAACAGGTAAATTTTCTCCTTCACTGATGTGCATTGATGAGGCTGCACTGATAGGCAGCACTGATGGGCACTGATAGGCGGCACTGATAGGCAGCATTGGGCACTGATAAGCAGGACTGATGAGGCAGCACTGGTGGTAATTTGTATGAGGAGGCACTGATGATGCTGCACTGATATGCAGTACTGATGGGCACTGATAGGTGGCACTGATGGGCACTGACTGGCGGCACTGACTGGCTGCATTGTCTGATGGCAATGATGGGCGGCACTGATGAGCAGCACTGATGGGCACTAATCGGTGTCATTGCTGGGCGACACTGATGGGTGTCACTGCTGGGCACTGATAAGCACCACTGCTGAGCACTTTTGAGGCTGCGCTGATAATCAGAGCATTGATAGTGCCCTGATATCAGTGCAGATGTCCTCTGTGACACTTGCCAGTTATCAGAACTGTTCTCACGCTGTGACAGCGCGAGGAAAGTGCCACCACGAACCAGCAACTGTATTTACTTTGTGTCATTGGACACAGTTGATCACGTGGTAAAAGGCCGCTGTGATGGCCTTTTACCTTGTCATGTGATCCTTGGATGCCCGCTGCTGGGGGCATGTGGGGGGCGTGTTCTGGGAGGATATAATATGAACTTGACAACCACACTATAGCTGTCATTCGGCTATAGCCTGGTTGTCAAGTGGTTAAATAGCACATTGTGCATCAATTACCTTTCTCCACACTCTTAATTCCAAACATCTCTTCCTAAGTCTTCCTGCAAGTGCAATGGTCCCCTCACCGCTCCTGTGAGTTCTCCTGCCATCTGGAGCCTCTGAGAGAGGACCTGACCACTGGAGGGGTCACCACCATCAATAGGTGATCTCCACATTATGAAGGAAGTGATGTTGACACCCAAAGAGGGACCCCAGTAAAAAAAAAAAGAAGCAGGAAGGATTGCAATGTGACCGTGGCTTCAGGTAAGTAAAATGTGATTTGGACAGGCTTTTTTATTTTTTCACACCAGCAGTTAGTTGGGGGGGTTGCTAAAATCCTTGAGTTGGGATTTAACCACTTGTGGACCGCCCACCAGCAATGCACTGTGGACGGGGAGCCCATGCAGGCACATGCTCTCACCCAGTGTCAGTTAGTGTCAGATTGCCTGCCACACTATCACAGTCTCAATGCCATTAGTAGTGTAAAGAAAAAATTCCAGTATATATACCATAGTTTGTAGATGCTATAACCTTTGCACAAACCAATCATATGTACATTTTTGACTAAATTTATGAAGAAATCTGTACCATCTCCAAGATATGCCCTTTCCTAACCAATGACACCAAAAAGTTTCTAACTCACTTCCTGGTCATCTCCAGCCTTGACTACTGCAACTCCCACCTCACTGGCTTACCTTTACATAGGCTAGCCCCCTTCATCATGAATGCTGCTGCCAGGCTCATCCACCTTACCAACCGATCAGTGTCTGCTACCTCTCCCTGCCAAACCCTTCACTGGCTCCCACTCACCCGACTAATAAAATTCAAGATACTTACAACTTATAAAGCTATCCACAACTCAAATCCCAGCTATATCACTAACCTTGTCTCAAAATAACAACCAAATTGTTCTCGTCATTCCTCCCAAGATCTTCTGCTCTCTAGCTCTCTTGTCACCTCCTCCTATGTGTGGCTCCAGGACTTCTCCAGAGCTGCTCCCATCCTCTGGAACTCCCTTCCCCAATGTACTTGACTATCTTCTACTCTGTCCTCTTCTAGACGATCCCTAAAAACTCATCTCTTCAGAGAGGCCTATCCTGCCTCCACCTAGCAACTGTACATGTATTTTCTCAATCAGTCTATCCCCCACAGTTATTACCTTTTGTATCAATTGACCCCCCCCTTGTAAGCTCTAACAAGCAGGGCCCTCTGTTGCCTTCTGTACTAATTTGTATTGTACTTGTACTGTATGCCCTTATGTTGTAAAGCGCTGTGTAAACTGTTGGTGCTATATAAATTCTGTATATTAACCGCTTTCCCACCACCCTATAGCAAGTATACTGCTACAGGGTGGTAGGGGTGCGCAAAATCACGTATATATACATGATTTTGCAATTCCGGGTAGGCTATTCGCAGCTTCGGCTGTCAATCACCAATAATTTTTACTTTCAGCCTTTAAAACATAATCAGTCTTTTTTTCATTTATATAATAAAAAAAAAACCCAGTGGTGAACAAATACCACCGAAAGAAAGCTCTATTCATGGGAAAAAAAGGATGTAAATTTCATTTGGGTGCAGCATTGCACGACTGCTCAATTGTCAGTTAAAGTAAAGCAGTGCTGTAACACAAAAAATGGCCTGGCCAGGAAGGTGGGTAAATCCTCTGGAGGGCAAATGATTAATATTACTACAAAACAATAATTTAAAAAAGTGTTTTATTAATTTTTTTATAAATATGTTTTATAGCTGAAAGTAAAAATGTTCAGTCTCTTTTCATTTATATAATAAAAAATAAAAAAAACTCAGTGGTGATCAAATACCACCAAAATATAAGCTTCATTTGTGTGAAAAAAAATTATACATTTTGTTTGGGAACAGAATAGCAAAACCAAAAGTGGTGCCTAATCAAAAAAAGGGGGGGGGAAAACCTTCTGAACATGAATTGGTTAAATAAACTAAAATTATGGAGTTGCTTTATGTGTAACAGAGTGGGTACTCTTTATTCCTTCAATGAATACTCACATACACAGCAGTTTTACTATAAATCGTAACTCAAGTACATTTCTAGAAGTAGACAAAATGATTTACTTGTTACCGTAAACAGAGTCATAATCATTGACATTTTGTGCCCTGTTACAGTTGTTTCAGTCTGCAATTGGAGGACTTCCTCTAGTGTTTCCCCCTTAGACGTGGGTGTGTGGGTGTTCACTTGTTTATACCGAGCAGAAGGGAATCCTTTATACACATATACAAAGTTTATGTTCTGTTTAATGTGAAAAAGATGTGGGTAGGAGCTTAAGTAGTTAGTAATAACACTACTGGTAGATATTTATCTAAAGGTTCCTTAAAGGGGGTTTTCTTAGTGCGGGGGTGCTTTGATTCAATAGTACCTTTCCAGCAATTACTTTATCATAGTATAAGTATACTATAATAGTATAGTGGTTACTTCTACCGAAGACAGGATGGAATATATAACTGTAAGTTTAATTTATCATATACATCTTTTATTTGATCTTTAGTTTGTTTACATTGTAAATCTTGAACAAATTATTTATTTATGTGTGCGATTTTCATACTAAACATTAGGAATTCTATTCTTTTATGCTCAATGCATATCTATACAATGTACATGTGCTTGTTGTTATCATTAAAGTTTGAAGCTCATGCGTTATATGCAAGCTTACATTTCCAATTTAATGCAAAATGTCCACTCACACATAAAATGTGATAGATACAGTACATATTATCAAGGCTTTTTTTTCAGCAGGAATCAAACATACTTCTACTATGTATTCTAAGTCAGCAGTTGCAATTAAAATTTGAAAATTGCCCTGAATTTTATATATATTTGTTTTGTGTTAACAGAACATTATTAAGCTTGGTTTTAGAGTCCATTTTACAACTAGTGCCATTAAGGCAACATTTAAAAGGTTTTGTTGAAAAACTGAGAATCAATACTTGTCTATGCACAAAAATAATATCTGAAAAACGTGCACAGTTCTGCATTTGAACTTTGTTAAAAAGATACAAACTGATGTCCAGGGGCGAACTGACAACTCATGGGGCCCCCGGGCAATAGGGGATCATGGAGCCCCTGTGTCCTTGCCCAAACTCAAAAAAGCCTATGAAAAAGGTACCAGGGGCATCTCATGGGGCCCCCTACTGACCCCGGGCTCTCGGGCAGTGCCCAAGTTTCCAAATGGTCAGTCCACCCCTGGTTCCAGCACATCTAGCACCTCCAGCACTGAATGTTTGTAATGGCAAGGGGTGTTGAGGTGTGCTGGAAGGTCTATTGATGCTGGCTGTTGAGGAATCTATTGTCACTGCAGGGGATCTATTTTTGCATGGCATTATATTGGTGCCGGGGGATCAATTTTTGGTGGAAAAGAACTACTTTTGAGAGAGGGGTCTATTGTTGCTGGCTGTTGGAGAATCTATTGATGCTGGCTGCTGGGAAATCTGTTGTTGCTTCTGGGGGTCTATTGTTGCTGGGCTGGAATTTTGTTGCAGGTGTCAATTGTTGTTGGGGAATGCTATTGTTGCTGGGTGGGGTCTATTGTTACTGGCTGTAGGGGATTTATTCTACTGCTTTCCTTGTTATCATTAACAGATTCCATACAAATTACTTAACACCACAAAATGATATTTGGCTCTGTATTCTGTTAAAGGAGCAATACTGGGAGGGGGGTAGAACCAAGGGACGATGCTCAGAGGTGGGTAGGGGGGCAGAAACAAGGGGATGACTTAGAAGGAGGAGTGGGTCCTGTATCTATTCTCTGAGAAAAAAAAAAAGCCCTGCATATTAGGGATGAGAAGAGTGATATTGGTGGAATACATCTCACCCCAAAATTATGGAAATTTGTTTCTCCCCACCTATCTTCCTGTTTACAATGTTTTATATAATTTTATAGATTTTTTTTTGTTGTTGTTGAATGGCATAGGGCTTGGATCTCCGGCAGGCAGTCAACTCAGAGTCTCAATGGGTTCTCACAGAGGTCATCTCTAGTATAGATCACTAGAGATTCCTGTTTGGTTGCTCTTTAATCACAGCTCTCTGTTTTTATGAAGATATGTGGCATTAGTTGCAATTACCTGACTCTTTCTCCTTTCTTAACTGAGTCTGAGACATTGCCACCATTGATGTGAATATGAATTGTATTGCTCATATTATTAATCAAATAAATAATTTCACCAAAGCAGAAATGGTCAATGCTTAGGTTAATTTTCTAGAAAAAAAATCGATTTAAAGGGTTTGGTTCTTTGGGATGCAATGAAGTTAGTTTTTTTTTTATATAGTGTACTTTGCATTTGTATTTTAACGTTTTTTGTGTTTGTTAATTGTGCACTGTTCCTTTAATCTAATTTTTTTACTCTTATTTTCACTGTATTTTTATTTTAAAAATATAGACGTCAATGAGGGAAAGTTTTTGAGACAAGGTCTGAGACAGTTAGAAAGAGCTTCCTGGACTTTCAGGAGCCATCTAAAGCTGAGTGTATCTTTACAAACCACCTAAAACCATCAATTTAGTTGATTCCTAAACCTGCAGATGAAATGGTGTAGGCCAGCTGCAGATTTTGAGCTTTTGCTCATGCGGTGGGGTATGTGGAAATTGTAGCTGCTAGGTACTTCATCAAATTATCATAAGAGAACACTTCACCATTTAGTTCTTTGACCTCATTTTGAAGGAAACACAGCCAAGTTATCTGAAGCTACCTGAAAGGTTAATTAAACCCTAAGGTTACAACATCTGTTATATATAAATGTGCTTCCAAACAGAGGCCCATGTGAGTTAATAGGAATTTTAGTATCTATTCACAGGAGACCTTCATTTGACAGAACCCAGCTCAGGGGTGTCAAACTGGTGGCCCTCCAGCTGTTGCGAAACTACAAGTTCCATCATGCCTCTATCTTTGGGAGTCATGCTTGTAACTGTCAATCTTTCAATGCCTCATGGAACTTGTAGTTTGGCAACAGCTGGAGGGCCACCAGTTTGACACCTGTGATTCTTGCTGGATCAACCAAACTTTCAGGAAGCTTCAAAAAGCTCAGCTCTGTCTTTCTAAGAGGAGGGCTTGCTTTCACTTGCAACCGAGAAAGCAACTTTGGTACCCTTTTATACATAAAAGAGCAACTTAACAATTGCTCACAATGTCAGTTACTTTGACTTTCAGTGCTACAACTCTAATTGCATTGCTGATATGTACCAAGATGGAGATTGTGATTTTAGTTAATTGTGAAGAGTAAATGTGAAAACTGATTAACACAATTGTCTTATAGCACTAGGGTCCTAGATCCAGTTGCCAATGGTAATGCTTCAATGTTGGTGTCCTCCAACAGTGCAAAAGCATACTAGTAGATATTTTTTTTTTTTCCTTAAAATTGGCTCAATGGTGTGTGTGACTTAATCACATGAGTTATTTTTCATTTTTTTTTCTTGGTTTTCAAAATAACAAATGTATTAATATGGACATTGGAAAAAGTTTAATTCAGCATAACGCTTTTTCTAGTTAAATAGTACATTTTGTATAGAGGTACTGTATATACATCAAACCTAACAGAGGGGACACTGAGGCAGAATGAGGGATGGAGGGATATGGTCTCAAAAGAGGGACAGTCCTTCCAAATGAGAGACAGTTGTGAGCCATGCCATTCCTGTGTATTTAGCTAAATATCAATAAAATAAGTAAATAGTAAAACAATTTATAGGAATCATTTCCCACATACCTGAGTTTACCACAGTACTTTTGATCTTGGAATACCTTTAAATTATCCTCTAACAGATTGAGATTCATTTAAAAAGCACCTGCATACTGCTCATGCACCAACGTAATTGTCACATCCTAGGAACCTATCAAATCAGAAAAACTGTGTAATTACTTATGATACCAAGTTATAATACATAAAACTTTCAGGGGGAAACAAAGTATTCTTAGTGATATTGCCTTCCAAAAATGACATTTGTTTTCTTTCTCTCTCTCTGTATACATAATTTTAAACTTTCAACGCTGTCACACTTCGAATAACAATTGCGCGGTCATGCAACACTATACCCAAATGAAAGTTTTATCATTTTTTTCCACACAAATAAAGCTTTCTTTTGGTGCCATTTAAGCACTACTGGGTTTTTTATTTTTTGACAAATAAACATAAAAAACTAAAATTTTGCAAATAAATCATTGTTCTTCATAAATTTAGGCCAAAATTTATTCTTCTACACATTCTTTGATGAAAATAACCCAAATCAGTCAGTGTTTATTATTTTGTCTGTGGGAAAGTTATAGAGTCTACAAACTATGGTATATATCTGATATATATATATATATATATATATATATATATGATCAATTCGATGTACTGACAGCCTCATTTAATTTCTTGGGGTCATAAAACATCAGGACAGTACAAATACACCCCCCCAAAATGACCCATTTTTGGAAAGTAGACAGTCCAAGGTATTTAGTAAGAGGCAAAGCAAGTTTTTTTAAGTTGTAATCTCTTGGAAAATGTAATATTTTTGGAAAATGAAGAAATTAAAAAGAAACATTTATAAACCATAAATAGATACTGTCACAGGATCTGCTTTCAATTTCATTGGCATGGGTGTTACGTGCTGATACATTTCAACAGAGTAGTTTTCTGTGTTTCCAGGATAGATGTTTGATTGACATCATAGTTCACTATCTGTCTCAAAAAAAATATATACAATTCATTCATACACTGTTGCATGGCGGAGTAATCATCACTGGAAACTGAAACAGGCCTGTTAATGAAGAAGTAGTATAAGTTAGCACACAAGGGGTTAAATAACATGCCTGAGTGGTGCCCTAAAACTGCATATGAAGCTGTGCACCTGCAGGATGTACTAAAGCAAAAGTGACATATCCCTGCCTTTTGTTAAAAATGGCATGGGGACCGCACAAAATCGGAATCTGGAAGAATAAGTGTCCTAGGAACTAACGAGAGCCCTAAGTGGTGGTAGTAGTACCTCTACTAAATGTATGACTTCCTGCACAGCAGGAGTTTTATTTTTTCAGATAAACAAACCAGTTAGTTTTCAAAACAGTAAAATAATTAACGAGCGCTTGGAGATAAATGGTAAGCAGCTGGCATAAAAGGTACAAACCCCAAACCTTCACACTATAAATAATAATAACATATGCAGCGCTACAAAGAAGTAATCAATGAATCATAAATCTAAAAATATAAATAAAGACAAAAAATAAAAATAAAAAGAGTGGTGGGCTAAAGTGCTTAAGGTGATTAAGATAAAAAACAACGTCCTCAGATGATGGTTCAATTGTCCCAATAATGAGGTGCAAAGGTGGTCGACTCCGTGCTCAAAGGTGTGTAAATATTATGCACTCACCAGAAAGCACATAATGTGCGCATTTGAGTTGTCAGACCACTCCTGGTACTAGAAGGCTGAAGCAGTGCGGGTCATCTAGCAGGCTGTCACTCTGGTAGGGATGCACCTTCCTCCAACCAGCAGGGGGACACCAGACATCCAGCAATAATTGGCATAAAGCTAATCCTGACTCCTTGAGTTACTTAAACCGACTACAACTGCTAACAGCAATATAATTTGTCCTTTTATTACAAATTTTAATACCCAATATAAAGATGTCTCAAAGATCATTAAGAAGAACTGGTCCATCCTTCTAAATGACCCATTATTGGGAAAAATATTACCCAAACGTCCAGAGATCATCTTTCGTAGAGCGCCCCCTCTCAGGTTGTCTCTAGCCCCTAACATAGTGAACCCCCCAAAAACCTTAACATTTAATCTTGGTCACAAGGGCTTTTATCCTTGCAACAGATGTATGATTTGTGTTGAAAATGGTATACACAAGAGACCAGTGAAAACCTTTGTGTCTAATACCACCAAGAAGACATATGAAATCAAAAATACCATTACTTGCAATAGCACACACGTTGTTTACCTATTAGAGTGTGGCTGCGGTAAGCAATATGTTGGGAGGACGACAAGGAGGTTACGTGACAGACTGTGTGAGCACCTTAAAAATATTAAAAAAGGTTTCAAGGACCATTCATTATCTTTACATTACCAGCTATGCCATAACAACAACCCCAAATGCTTGAAATTTGCTGCTATAGACATTACTAAGCCGCATTGGAGGGGTATTTACAAAAAGAGATCTGTTGCAAGGTTGGAAACCAAGTAGATTTATGAGCTCCAGTCTTCTTCTCCTCAAGGTCTTAATATAAATCTAGATATTAATTGTTTTATTGATACAAGTTGATATATCTAGTCTATTTTTTGATCTGTATGTTTTTATTCACTGCTTTTTGTTTTTATTATGCATATATTATAAGGATTATGATTTTAACCCCAATTTATGTGTCTAATTCATGGGTTGTGTATTTTAACTGTAATATACATTATGACTTTTTATGGCATCAATAGATGGATCTATCTACATGTGGATCTATTTACCATGTGGGTTATATATGTTATATACAAATGCTTTTATATATTATTTGGAATGTAAGTTATCCGGCTCACTTGTTAGTTTTTGGTCATGATTCTACTATTTATAAATATTTATTCATTTTTACTCGCTATCAATTATATCTTAATTTGTATTTACTGTGTATGAATCTCAAAATGATATTTTGTATGCACCTCCACTGTTAGTGATATTTGGCCTGGGGGTTCCCCCCCCCTTTATAATCTCTAATGGAGTGGACTCCACTATAATGGAGTCTGGGGCATTCCTATAAAAATGGAATACTGCAGCAATATGAGCAATACCGTTCAGCATCCTTACTGCCAGTATCCATCCTACTACGGAATACCTTTTAGCCTCCTGGATACAGGTTTAGATAAGGAGGAGATGCGAGATTATTTTTACAAATAGACATGACAATCGTCTATCCTGAGCCGTGATAACCGATAAAATGGCCGCTGCTGTATGCACTGCGCATGCGCGAGCGGGCTAAGATGGCGTCACCGGCTTATTATGCTTACCGCGCATGCGCGGAATTCACTATATATATCCTTGTCCGGCTAGTGCTCGCTCCCTTTGATAACGTGCTCGTCCGCACGAAACGCGTCAGCTGGAGCCTAGCCGGTGACATCACGCCGCTCCACACCTTGTGGAGGCCGGCGGCCATCTTTGTTTCTGGGATACCCTGTGAGTTGCTTTCATTATACTCCAATAAAAGGTTTTTTGAACATACTACACTATCAGTGCTTTTTTGGGGTGGGCTGTTTGGTCGAGCCCCCCCTCCCCTTTCTCAAGGTGGATATCCTGTATGAGTGCCCTGGTTTGAGGAGTCAGGATTTAGCTTTATGCCAATTATTGCTGGATGTCTGGTGTCCCCCTGCTGGTTGGAGGAAGGTGCATCTCTACCAGAGTGACAGCCTGCTAGATGACCCGCATTGCTTCAGCCTTCTAGTACCAGGAGTGGTCTGACAACTCAAATGCGCACATTATGCGCTTTCTGGTGAGTGCATAATATTTACACACCTTTGAGCACGGAGTCGACCACCTTTGCACCTCATTATTGGGACAATTGAACCATCATCTGAGGATGTTGTTTTTTATCTTAATCACCTTAAGCACTTTAGCCCACCACTCTTTTTATTTTTATTTTTTGTCTTTATTTATATTTTCAGATTTATGATTCATTGATTACTTCTTTGTAGCGCTGCATATGTTATTATTAAACCAGTTAGTTTGCCCGCTCAGCAAATAGCACAGAGTTGGAGGCAAACTCGAACCTCGTTCCTAGGGTTGAATAATGTATAACATTAAATATACTTAGGGTGTGACAAGATCCCTTCATTTCCCCCAGATGTCATTTAATAGAGCTGATGGTGATAGAATTTTCATCTGTTCTGCAGGTTCACATATTGATGCATGATTTAGTTTTTTCAAAATATACTGTCAAGCTAACCTTTCAATCTCAATGATTCTTGGTTGACATACTGTTTGCACCATTGCAGGAAACCACAGGTGAAGAAGAATTGCATGTATGGAAAAGAGGAAAGGTATTGGAAAAAGGGACACAGCACAGGAGAACACAGAAAAAGTGTGGGGGGGGGGGGGGATAATACAGGATGGAGGAGTACATTATGAAGAGATGCTTGAAGTAAGGATGAGAAGCAGTACATGGAAGATAATTAAAGTAGAACTAAAGGCACAACTTTTCTTTTTCATTTTGGATAGAGTAAGGGAGGGTTATAACACCTGCTGGATTTTTTTATGTTGCCATCTGTGTCCCATTCGGGAGATTTACACTTCCTGTCCCATAGCTAAAACAGGAAGTGGGAGGAAATCCCTGCAAATTAAGGGAATCCCTTGGGATTCCCCCAGGTCACCAGAACTAGTGTCCCCATTGGAAGATTTCCCCTCTATTACTTTTCTAGGGAAACCCAATATTTTGGATTTACTTTCACTTTCAACAATAATGGTAAACAGGACAAATGGAGAAGCTGAATCTCCCTAACTGGGGCACAGACAGCAATAAAAACCTGCCAGGTATTCTAATCCATTACCACTCTATACTGTATACTGTAAAGAGAGGAACTGTAGATGAATGGGAAAATCAGTATAGAGGCGGCTGGAAGGCAATGAGAATAGCAGGATCGGTATGGGGGATGTGGGGGCACTGCAGGTCAATGAGAGGAGCAATATAGAGGAGAGTTACACTTGCAGTTTAGATCAGCCAAATACATTCCAGGCGTATGAAGATAAAAAGTATTCAACATCTTACAGTTTGTCTGTCTTTCTAAAGCAGTTACAACCTGATAACAAAAGCCTGTTCCTTTCCAGCAGCTGCAGAGTGGGACCCTTTTTCTTTTGTGGGGAAGCAGTGATCTCTCTGCAAAGGTCCAACACACCAACTAGTCAGACCTACAAATCTGCAGTCAGCAAAGCTCATACTATCTACTGATATCTACTATTCTCTGCAGAAAGATGATTGCTTCCCCACAGAGAATGTAGGTCTAATTCAGCTGCATGCTGCCAAGAACATAGGCTTTTTACTCATGATGTAGCTGCTTTTACTAGAAAAAAGATATTTTATGTAGCAAGAATATATTTAGCTGATTTAAATTTATTTAAATGCCGTCTAATATTTGCAGAACATTAGATAGATACTGAAGGAAGATAGATAGATAGATAGATAGATAGATAGATAGATAGATAGATACTAGTAGATACACTGTATTGCCAAAAGTATTGGGACACCTTTACACGCACATGAACTTTAATAGCATCCCAGTCTTAGTCTGTAGAGTTCAATATTGAGTTGGCCCACCCTTTGCAGCTATAACAGCTTCAACTCTTCTGGGAAGGCTGTCCACAAAGTTTACAAGTGTGTCTATGGGAGTTTTTGACCATTCTTCCAGAAGCACAAGTCTGAGGTTAGGCTCTGATGTTGGATGAGAAGGCCTGGCTCGCAGTCTCCGCTCTAATTTATCCCAACGGTGGGCTATCGGGTTGAGGTCAGGACTCTCTGCAGGCCAGTCACGTTCCTCCACCCCAAACTCACTCATCCATATATTTATGGACCTTGCATTGTGCACTGGTGTGAAGTCATGTTGGAAGAGGAAGGGGCCACCCCCAAACTATTCCCACAAAGTTGGCAGCATGAAATTGTCCAAAATATCTTGGTATGCTGACGCCTTAAGCGTTCTCTTCACTGGAACAAAGGGGCCAAGCCCAACTCCTGAAAAACAACCCTACACCATAATCCCCCTCCACCAAACTTTACACTTGGCACAATGCAGTCAGGAACATACCATTCTCCTGGCAACTGCCAAGCCCAGACATGTCCATTGGATTGCCAGACAGAGAATCGTGATTCGTCACTCCAGAGAACACATCTCCACTGCCAGTGGCGGTGGGCTTTATACCACTGCATCCGATGCTTTGCATTACACTTGGTGATGTAAGGCTTGGATGCAGCTGCTCGCCCATGGAAACACATTCCATGAAGCTCTGTACACACTGTTGTTGTGCTAATCTGAAGGCCACACAAAGTTTGGAGGTCTTTAGCTACAGCAGACAGTTGACAATTTCTTCAGCATGTGCTGACCCCCCCGCTGTGTCATTTTACGTGGCCTACCACTTCATGGCTTAATTGCTGTTGTTCCCAGTTGCTTCCACTTTGTTATAATACCACTAACAGATGACCGTGGAATATTTAGTAGCAAGGAAATTTCACGGATGGACTTATTGCACAGGTGACAACCTATCACGGCACCACACTTGAATTCACTGATCTCCTGAGAGTGACCCATTCTTTCACAAATGTTTGTAGAAGCAGTCTGCATCCCTAGATGCTTAATTTTTTATACACCTTTGGCCATGGAGGTGATTGGAACGCCTGAATCCAATGATTTGGAGGGGTGTCATAATACTTTTGGCAATATAGTATAGATAGATAGATAGATAGATAGATAGATAGATAGATAGATAGATAGATGGGCTATCCTGTACATTATACTAAGAACTTCAGAAAACTAGACAGTCTACTTCTGTATAAAATTAAAAGTGCAGCAGCTACCTCAAGATGGAGTAATATTTAAAGCAGAACTATAGGCAAAATTTTTTTCATTTTGGATAGAGTAAGGGAAGGTTATAACCCTTGTCAAATTTTTTTTTGTCATCTGTGTCCCATTTGAGAGATTTCCCTTCTCTTCCTGTCCCACAGCCAAAACAGGAAGTGATAAGAAATCCCTACAAATTAAAGGAATCCCTTGGAACCCCCGGGTCACAAGAACTAGTATCCGCATTGGAAGTTTTCCCCTCTATTACTGTTCTGGGAATAACCCAAAAGTTGGGATTTTCCTTTACTTTCACTTTCAGTTGTAATGGAAAAGAGGACAAATAGAGAGGGTGACTGTCCATAATGAGGACATCAATAAAAACCGACAGGGGTTCTAATCTATCTTCACTCTACCCAAAACTAAAAGAAATGTTTTGCCTTTAGTTATACTTTAAAGGATGAGATGAAAGCTTTATGTTCATTGGCTCTAGAGATAAACCAGCATTATGTCTGATGTGTAAGCCATCAAAAGACTGTTATGACCAGAAGTTGCAATGCATAAATATCTGCTAGAATTCATGGCTACCTAGACACATCTAGAGTTAGAATATCTCAAAGATACACATTCATACTGATACTAGTACAATGAAATGTGTCATTTTTGTAGCCACTGTGCAAAGGAGAAAAAAAGAATTTTCGAATGTATGGACTGAATACAGATGAAGAAACTGTGCACTCGGAAAGGTAACTCTTTTTAAAAACATATCTATAGAAAAAAAATGAAAAAAATTGGTCTCAGGTGGTTCTACCCCTAAACAATGGGTGGGGCCCCACATCCAAAATATTCAAAAGGGAAGAGCTGAACACGTGGACTTTTGAGGTACCCCAAAGAGTAACACATAAAACATTAATACTTAAAATAGCAAGGGAGAATACCTCAACAATTACCCTTTATTAATACAAAAGTTAAAAACAATACAGATACATCCAAAATAAAGAGTCTAAGCAGTAAATGTGATCACATAATAATTTGATCTGACATTACAATGTTATTGGAGTATCAACTCTTAAAAATATATCTAATTCAGTTCAAGGTTGACTGCAATTCCTCAACATGCTGCTACTGTAAGTAAAATGAATATAAAAAATACATCTATATATACAAAAGGTATATAAAATAACCATAAACAAAGTTACAGTATGTGGTAGAAACTGATGCATACAGTCAAGCTGTATGAAGATGGATATGATTCCAATGTGCTCGCATGTGTTAAACATCAAATTAAACAGGATGGAAAAAGGCCCAAGAGGTCATCCAGAAAAACAGGGTATCCCCCGGGTGTGGGGGGCACACATCGGGACCCTCACTGACCCTCAAAAGCAGGGGTGTCAAGCTGGCGGCCCTCCAGCTGTTGCAAAACTACAAGTTCCATCATGCCTTTACCTTTGGAAGTCATGCTCGTAACTGTCAATCTTACAATACCTCATGGGACTTGTAGTTTGGCAACTGCTGGAGGGCCGCTAGTTTGACATCTGTGCTCAAAAGAATAGGTATATTGCATATGATTACAGTTCACCTGACCCCCTTCCCCTTTTATTAATGTTTAGTATACATAACTTCTCTGGCTGGTAATGCAGTGGCCCCAGGGGCTGTTCCATGATGTCCTGTGCTCACCAGATGCCTGTTGAATAACATTGGGAATCAGTAAACCCAGAAGAGGAACCCAATTGTTGAACAGACTGCTTAGTGTAGGTAGTATCAGATTATAGGGAAGCATTGCTCCCAGAGAAGTTTATTTTTAACACTTGGGAAATTAAGTTTTAATTTTTCAGGTGAAGCTGATAATGAAGATGATAGATAATTGTACAATGAAAGACAATCAGGACTAGCTAAACAGAACTACACTATTTTGGTAGATGAGGTATATATCACAAAGTGTATGTTTTTCAATTATGCTTTTTGTTGTTTGCCTGGGTTTCTGCTTTCATTTTGTTGTGTTCAAAATATGATAGTTCGGAATCACATGCTGGATGCTGACAGCCATACTATCCCTATACTCGTGTCCCTCGGCTAGAGTACTAACAGACGGAACACTATCTGACCCCTTCGACATCACAAACGGTAGTAGACAAGGCTGTCCACTTTCCCCGATAATATTCGCACACCTTATTGAACCCCTAGCCTCCAAACTCAGAGATGACCCGTCATTTACTGGCATCAAACATCTCAACGCAGAGCATAAAATCAGCCTTTTTGCAGATGACATCATTCTGATGGTGACCAATCCCATCAAATCCCTCACAAGCATTCGTAACCACCTCCATACCTATTCAACAGTCTCCTACTATAAACTTAATGAACCCAAGTCTTCAATACTAAATCTACATATATCACTCCAAGACCAAAAAATATTGTCTACACAATTTCCATTCTCCTGGGAAACCCATAGTATCCCCTATCTAGGAATTAGATTAACCGCAACAGCAGACCAACTATACCTCGCAAATCACAACAAACTCCTTGAAACCATCCCCCATGAAATTTCTACTCTCTCCCACCTCAGAGCTCTCCAAATTGGGTCGAGTAGCGACTCTGAAAATGTACATACTACCCAAAATCCTATATATATTCTGCATGCTTCCAATACCGGTCCCAAATGCCTTCTTCTCCAGATTGCAAACAATCTTCACAAAATTCCTATGGAATTCCAAAAAACCCAGATGTACTACTAACCTTCTCATACGCACCACAAAAAGAGGAGGTGCAGGTCTTCCCCACATAAAATCATACTACAATGCCTCTCTACTTGACCAAATATATTTTTGGTGGAACCCCTCGAAAGAAAAAATTTAGTCCACATTGGAAACTCTCCCATTCCACCCTCTTGACCCTCAAAACCTCCTCATAATACCACACACAGCCCAGCTTGAACATCAAATGAAACACCCCTGTATCAAAGCCACCCTACAAGCTTGGCATAACCTTCTTGCCACCAAATTCACTGACATTAAACATATCTCTACTCCACTCAATTTACGACACGTCCTAACACCCTCCTTAAACATAATCCAATGGACATCGCAAAGTATAGTTCACATTACTGACCTCTATAATGACCGAATCCCACACTCGTTCCAAAGTCTCCAAACTAAATATAAGCTCCCATCTACTGAATACTTTACCTACCTAAGAATTGTATATTGCCTAAAAACAACGAAAATACCTTACTCTACAAAACTTCCAATTACCGCCTACAACTTCTATACAAAAACACGATACCCCGGCAAAGGCATTTCCACCTTCTATACGTTTCTTACTAATCTACAATTCACCATACAATCTACCTCCCTAACAAACTGGGGTAAGATACTTTCAGAACAATCACTACACAATCATGGGAAAGAGAGTTCTACATCACCCATAAATCCACCAGATGCAAAACCATCCCCCTTCTTGCTGGAGACAATGTGGTGAAACCGGTTCAACACTGCACATCCTCTGGTCCTGCAAAACAATTAGATCCTACTGGAATAAAGTCTTCAACTTAATTTCTGAAATATATGGAACCCAGATCACCCCAAATCCTTCTTTAGCACTTTAGCACTTCTACACATCGGAATCGAACAAATTCCACCTAAACTCTAACTTCCGCACCATCATCACCCATACATTTTTTGCAGCCAAAATTAACATCACTAGATTATAGAACACCACCAACGCACCCTCTCTCACATCCCTGATCTACAATCTCAATTTCCAATGTGACATGGAAAAAAGACTAGCATTAAATAACTCCTCTCAACATAAATTTGACCCTCAGTGGGCTCGATGGTTTCACAATCCAAATTGCTCCATACAACTTTGATAAATACATCACAATTGACTCCATTAACTAATCCCAGACTGGTACTTCTTCCCCCTCCAAGTTACATTTCCCCCCCAATCCCCCCTTTCCTCCCCTACCTTTTCTTCTTCAATACTCCCTTAATACCCCATACACTTAGCCATGTTCAACACACTACCTAGAATACCTCTGATGACATTTTATTAGAGACCTTTACATTACTCCCCACTTCCGGTGGGGTATAATAATCATTTCTAGAATGTATTACAACTATTTCTGTTGAACCGTATACCTTTACCCTGTTTTGTCTTTAAAATCTTCAATAAAAATTATTGAAACTAGAAAATATTATAGTCCAACCATATATATATATTCACTTGCAAATAGGTGTGAGAGTGCTGAACTTAATGAGGATATCAGAAGACAGATTCAGCAGAAAAATATATTTCATAAAGCGGAAGAAGCTTTGCTTGTTTCCAGAACTCAGACCCTATACCAAAGGAACTTACGCCACCCTGAAATACTCACACAGGTAATGTTTTATTTTTATGTACAAAAAGTTTCAGTGACAAAAGTATTTTACATTGTATGAGGGCTTTTTGTATACACAAACTTTTACTAAGGCCCCATTTGCGCCTGCGATTAGGGCCTTCTGTGAATTCATGCAGCAAAAATCTGTGGATTACTGCACCTGGGGTCATAGATTTGTGCCAAAAACTATGACAACTCAGCCTGTACAAAGCAGTGACAGATTCACAGGAGCCAGAGCTGTCCGCCACACTTCATGTCTATTTACACATCCAGCAGTAAACTGCAATTAGAGAGAGATGGCTGGCCCTCGACACAGACAGATTGCATCCAGGACTGGTTACCTGTCCCTAACCACAGGTAAACTTTGGATATGCAAATACATGCAAACAGCAGTGGGCTGTTGTGGCTCCAATCAGCCTGTCATTGCTTTGTACAGGCTGGGCAACCACAGCTGTTGGCACACACCTTTAAATGTGGATTCACAC